TTCCTTTCCAACTTACCAGCTATCAGACCATTCCATTTCAACTTACCAGCTATTAGACCATTCCATTTCAACTTACCAGCTATCAGACCATTCCATTTCAACTTACCAGCTATCAGACCATTCCATTTCAACTTGCCAGCTATCAGACCATTCCATTTCAACTTACCAGCTATCAGACCATTCCATTTCAACTTACCACTATCAGACCATTCCATTTCAACTTACCAGCTATCAGACCATTCCATTTCAATTCACCTGCTATCAGACCATTCCATTTCAACTTACCAGCTATCAGACCATTCCATTTCAACTTATACCAGCTATCAGACCATTTCAATTCACCAGCTATCAGACCATTCCATTTCAACTTACCAGCAGACCATTCCATTTCAACTTACCAGCAGACCATTCCATTTCAACTTACCACTATCAGACCATTTCCTTTCAATTCAATTCACCAGCTATCAGACCATTCCATTTCAACTTACCAGCAGACCATTCCATTTCAACTTACCAGCAGACCATTCCCTTTCAACTTACCTGTCTCAGCTATCTGATGCAGCTTCAACATTGAATACGGTGGGTCTTGTTCACTAAAACAAAAGCAAATAAATGCTGAATAAATATCTGTTTGTGGTGGGTTCATTTTTTTCATTTGAATCAAACAACTAGAATAGTTTAATGACGTCATGTTGTTCATAATTTACAACTAATATTTGTTGATATTGATGATCTGTGTTATTCAAATATTCCTAAAATTATGATGCAACCAAAGATATCTATAAACTTATAAATTCAGTCACAGTCTGTTTATTAATTAATGGATACTGTACTATGACATAAATAGAGTAAATTTACACTGATTATTCACTGTGTAATTTAATTATTTAATTATACTTAATATATGTATTTGCAAGCCCCCACCCCTAACATTGCAGCTCCTTATTGTAATTGTATGTGCACCTCGGAATAACTTTACTTGTCCGGAAGAGGGGCATATAAAAATTAAATGGGGGAGGGGCCCTAAGAAATTTGTACTGTTTTTGACACTATTAAAACCCTATGACCTTTGTTTATTCTGTTTTCACATTCAATTTTACCCATAACAGTTCACAGTGAACAGAAAAATGTTGATTGGGAATTCATATTCCTAGAAATACTGTACTCCAATGTTACAATGAAAGACAGAGATATAATAGACATTGTAAACATACTTACTTATCAACTAGTGTCCTGATTACTGATAGTGTATCCAACACAAGTTTATCTGTATTGGTATTTCTTGAAGTTGCCCAATTGGTGACTGACGGAATACACCCTCCATCTAATCCTGCACCGGAAACAGGACTTTGAGTTCTTGATGTAGCATTACTCTGGGCTGTGGTGTAAGGTTCACCTCCATGAGAGCGCGGGTTTGCTTCTTTACAAACACAAGCACCCATACTTTGTGACAGCCAGATATAGCCTCTACTAATATACGATAACGTTGCTAATACTAAGCTGGGCAATGAAAGATATGCCAACCATCCACTGACTATCATAGGGGTACTGCTTCATGCATACACCTAGTTAGTACTCACTGGTCCAATCCTAAAAACTCAGGGTAATACTCGATCACTAGCATGGTTGTTGTCAATCTTTGATGACTACATAATGTATAATGAGTCAATAAACACTGACAGGATGGTTGTATTATATACTTCCTGTTACTTAGAGACTGTCAGGTCAGGTCATTCAACAACCTAGTCCACAGAGTTATTTTCTACAATTTCAAAGCGAGTTACACTGCATTAACACGATAACGTAGATCAGATCAGAATTTGAAGGCAAACAAATATATATCAACTGTTCACAGATCGCAGGTAAAGATCTAATGACGTCGCATGTGATAATATACTGTTGCGTTGACGAAGGGATATAACTAAAATAATAATCACAGCATTTGTATCTAGTTGTAATAACAACGATATTCAAACCTATAACAGTTATATATCCATTCCCGTTCCTTGAGCACCGTTGATACCCTGAGATGCTCTGACACACCCAGTTCTTTAGCTTCCGTCTCACGATCGACACCTCGACGAGGATCGAAACTCGCTTTGCGGCGAATATTCTAGTACAAGAATATTGTGTGTTCCACTACTGAAAACACGCACACAGATGGAAGAAACAATAACAAATAATATGTAAAATGTATCTTGGTCGACTCCACATACATTAATCTGGAGACCAATTGCGATTTACTTAGAGCAGAGAAATATAACGATGCGATGACAATGTCCCAACTTTCGTGGATGCGGCCATTTTGGAATTGCAGTTAAGTTGCATCATGGGATATATTTCCTCAATTTTGTTCTATGTGATATGCATGAAAAGAAACACCTTCATTGTTGTTGTTAAAATATAAATAAACAGTTAATTTTAATGCTACGAATAAAATATTCCAGAAAAACAAAACGTATTGGGTTACCGTTTTTTTTTTTTTTTTTTTGTTTTTTTTTTTGTTGTTGTTGAGGTACTTAGCAATTTTGTCAAAGGGTGAGTTGGGGGCGTCCAACTTTCAACACAATATAGGCCCGACTGTGTGGGAATACATGTATATACAAGAGAACTGGTGATGGTTGTAGAACCATAACTGCCTCAGCTCAAGACTGTTATGTAATACAAGGGAATGTAAAGGGAAATGCATTGTAGTGTTACCTCTGTGTAATTTACAATATATCTGCATTAACCTTCATTATTAAGGACAATATGGGAGTAGAAGCAAGGCTACGCAAATTTGCGAAATAGTAGTTAGTTAGAATTACCAGACATTGTGGGATATAAAGAAGTGGCATATTAACCCAACAAACATACTCGCACATATCCATACATGTCTTATTGT